AATCTAAATTCTGGAGGCGGTCGAAGTGCGAACGAAACAACCTCGGAAATGGGACCACCGATTTTTAACGAACACGTACGAAAACGAAGCTTCATCGATTCGATTAATCGCATTAGCCGTTTTATAAACTAGGATTAAAAGCAATAATAATAATCGAATCTATACGATACATTTTAATTAAATTCCAACAATTCGATACGCCAATGTTTAATCGGATATTTTGTAAGGTGTCGAGTTTCGATAATGATGCTCTTCAAATATTAATATTGTTCGATACCAATTTCGTGGGATACTGAGGTGATGTTTCAAATCTGTCAAAACGGGGGGAAAAAAATATCGATTTGACACTCGAATAGCGCACGAAGACGGAAATACAATTTAAAATCGGTAATTAAAGATGGACGACCGTTGCTTGCTAAATAAAAGTAGGAATTTCGATTATGGGGCGGGAAATTCCAGACGAAGTTAACCGCGTAAATGGAGGTATTACTGTAATCGAAATTATCCAACGACGACTGTTTATCGCGCGTGTTTTGAACGTTGCACGATATCACGTTATGTGGTCGACTTTCGTGTTCGGAAATGCAACGTTGGATTTCCTACGCAACAACATCTAATTTTGAGAAGTTCGGTGTAATATTAAGACCATGTATCCGGTAGCTTTACAACGCTGAAGGTAATATAGTTTAACCTTCTATTGCATAATCTACCAGATTGGAAACCCAACGAAAACACATCCTGTAATATTCACCGGGGAAAGTTTAAAGGACTTGAGCAAAATGTCTTCGCACGGGGACATCCTAACAATTATGCAAATTCGCAAAATTATTTAGTCGAGCATCGGTTCGTTCACGAATATTTAAATAACCAACAAATATATTTTTGCAAGATGAAATCAAAATTGAAATACGCTTGATTTTTGTTAATGGTACACTCAAATTTAAAAACGTAAATATATAACATCGCGATAGAAATGAACTTATTTCTCTAAAGTAAAGTAAATAATCGATAAAGATAGAATTTAATAAAATACTGATAGTGGTGCAATTTGGGGATGCTTGGCCTAAGTAGGGAATTCTTAATCGCATATCGTGGAGGGTATATTGAAAATTTAATAAAGAAGACGTGTTGTAATTCACGCACAATATTTCTAATAATCCTGTATCCAGAAATTCCCTTTCGAAGGCAAATATCCCAGATATTTCACTGATAGACAGTTCGGTAAATAGTCTCTCTCCCTCGTCTGGTGGTTCGCGACGGCGCAGCTATATCCAGGACGCATATAGGTAAGCTTCGAGAGTCAGCCACGTAACTACACAAGATGTTAAACTCAAGGAAGATGAAAGTACAAAGTCTGCTCGTGACGCGAGTCAACTTCAAACAGCTCGAAACGCCAAGATTTCGAGTCAACCGGTCGTTGACAGCTTTGTTACCCGGCACGGTATTCCCGACGCGTACAAAAATACCGTCGCGCCGCAACGAAACGCGCCATTTATTCCGCGCTGTATCCGTTAAATCGAAATTAAACGAAACATTTTACGTTATTTTCTATTACCCTTCCGGACGTTCGAGTCGCCAACGCGCTGCTTTTTTCGATTAAGGTTTACGCTTCGTTAAAATTCGTCCGTGCAGTTTGAAACGCGGAAAATTGGACGATATTTGAAAATCTTTTACTCTTTAACTATCAAGTATAGCAATTTCATATTGTCTACGTACACTTGTTCGCGTTTCATCGAGCTGCAGGAATTTTTTCAAGTAGGAAACGCGAAGAACAATGGAGGCCTGCTTTGACGACTCCGTCTATTTAGTTTTTCTATCGAATATTAGCGAGTTATCGAATCATATTAGAATCGATTTTTGTTTATGGTGAAACTAGGCGTACGCCTTGACTGTGCGCGTAGCACGATGCTAAGCAACAGCAGGAATAAACAAAATGTAAGATAATCTCGCGGGCGATGCCACGTCTGGGAGCGGAGCAAGTGCGAGAACTCGGAAGTTAAAGATAAACAGAATTTACAATGGAAATTCTGTTTCATAATCAGTCTAGTTTTACGAACTTGCTACATATTTTAATCTCGGATTCACGATCTCGGCTAATTCGTGACCCCGTTGCCTCGGCATCAGCTCGCAAAGCACGATAAAATATTCGAATGCTACGATTACACTAGATGGAACTGAATGTTTCTGCTTGCTTTTCCTGTTTAACTTTCGGACGCAAAATTCTCATCAATAAATTAGGATACCCTGACTTGGGACTGTTCGTTACCTTCAAACGATGTCAGTGAAAATGGAAACAATTGTCTATTTTACTCCAAGTTACTGCAGAACATTTCGGAGTTCTTTGGCTATCGTGTTGCAAAGTGTTAGGTAACATCTAGAGACGAAGTGTCCGGGTCAACGGTCGAAACACGAGGCACCAACGATGTCACCTGTTTAACGGTAAACAGGCCGATTTAGCTTGACCTAACCTATCCTACAAATCCTTATTAGAGCGACACTTGGCTAATTGCGTACCAGTTCTATTGTGCAAGAGGCCATGCGGCGGCGTGAAGTGCATTCGAACTGGTACGAGGTTTAGATAAAGCGATAATGAATGGCTCCAGATAACTGTTTATCTCCAACGAAAACTACTCGTTACAAAACTATGCGCAACTACAATTACACGACCTCACGCTGCTTTAACTTTCTATCGGCGATCGCGGTTAACCGGACGCTACTTTTTCGATCCCCCCTTTCGACAGATTCTATACCAGAGACCCAATTACACTAAAATTACGATTATCCAACGTACTCGGGGCTGGGACAATGCCGAATAATTGGACTATACCTACATACGAAGTAATAAAAACGAGGAATTGAACTATTATTATGGGATTTTTCTCACTTTACGGGATTAAGGAACAACTTTTCGAATATTTTTCGAATTTCTACATATTCTTCAATAAAATACGCGACGTTTGTATTTTGAAACATTAAAATCCACCCACCCGTTCAGGTGTTACGATTTTTTAAACATACGCATGACATTTCAGGGGAATCGGAACGTCAGAGTCAGACATTGTATTTTCGGTAAAGAATTTTTTTCTCTAAAATGCGTAGAATTTCGGGGGTATATCTATTGAGAAAAAATGATTTTAATTGACCCCCGCGACTAAAAATAATTTTTCCAAAAAGATTTAAAAATTTTTTTTTCGCCAAAAAATTTGGGACATACTCGAATTTTTTTCTCGAAAGTACGTGGGATTTCAAGGGTATGTCTATTGACCAAAAATGATTGTAATTGACTCCCGCAACCGAAAATAATTTTTTCAGAGTGATTTGAAATTTTGTAATTTCGTCGAAAAATGACCATTAACGACGAGGGAAATTTAACTCCAACTGTTTATAAATTATTTATTTCTGGGAGGATCGATCGGGAGAAAAGTATCGAGTAAAATTCATTCTTTATCCGTTTTGTCGTTCGATCCGTTCGAAGCGAAAAGTATCCATGCAGGTGTAGCGTGACATTTCATGACGGTTTCGCGTGACTATCGGTTATCAACTTTTTGAAATATTGCCATTCGAAGTTAGACATACTCGTAACGAATCGGCGCCGAGATACAAACTTGTGATGCATCGTATAGCTTTCCCGCGAACTTCTCCCGGAGTTCATACACGCCTGCATTCAAAATAGATTTAATTTCTGCGCTCGACGCTGCCAAAAACTGTTCTAATCCTAGATACGTACACGTCACCACCGATTGTAATAACGATCGATCAAAGACTTGACGCCATTTTGTTTGTATCAAAGAAATAGTAAGATTAAATCCTTTTAACGCGAGTACCACCAAGAATTATGGTGTATGCTTGCAAAAATTTAGTCAAATTCGGAGTAAATTTTGTACAATTTTTATTAGAAATTGTAAATTTTGACTTCGATAACTGTAGCGTTAATGAGATCACGTTAGTTTTTAATTCGCGCGATCGAGATCCGGATAAACGCGGCACGGAATTACCAAACTCGTTTCCGGAACTTAACAGCCCCGTAATTTCGAGACAAAAGAGTTGGTTAACGACCTGCGTAGTATCATTGATATTGTCGAGCCACACTTCGGGTTTCCGCGCGTAAAACCGTTAATCCCGGTTCGAGATTAAAGCATGGCGTTCGTTCTTAAATGAAAATACGTCTCGGGGTCTGGCAAACAATCGGTCGGGACATTATTTTTCCGTTCTACTTTCCAGCGGCATCGAGACGGTTGCTATGAATACACATTTCAATAATAAATCCGACGTAATTAAGATTGTTCTGCGTCGCTCCGCGAAATTCGTTGTCTTATTCAAGACTATAGCTACGGCCTGTTAATTCCATGAGAAGGGAGCACAACGGTGACATGAAAAAATGAACTTGCGCGTATCTCTCTAGCAGCTTTGCTTTTCAATTATTCAATCCCAATCTTTCCGCGAGATAAAAAAAGGGGCCTAAGAGAGAAGACTGCGGAGAAGAAAGTGAAGACACGGGGATATAAAACATCGAAACGGGGGGTTTAAAGATCAGAAGGAAGTAAAGAAACGGGTTGAGCGTGAGAAACTATCGAAAAGAGGAACAACAACTGAAAGAAATTGTCTTTCTATCTGTTACTAACTAGTATGATCCCTTATCAAACACTACGAACGCCTATTCATATTAATTCTATAGACTGACGCAAACTTAGGGGAATAATAATCCAAATTTAAATTACTATACGTAATAACTGTGTTAAATACAAATTGTTTCTTCAGTAGTACCTGGAAAAGAAGCTTTCGTTTTTCGAAAATATCGGAATAAAATATCAGCATGTACAAAGTTCTGTTAATTGCCTGGAAAGTTTTGTATTTTTACATCAGACTTTGATTAATTATTACACGCTGGGAGTGCCGGTGTACTTCACATCTGTCCAGGGGAAATTAATTCTCACGGTACAGCGAGAAAACAACCCTATCTATCATAGTTAGATATCTAGAGAAATTGATCAATTACTTACACTTACGTTCGGTCCGCCTTCCGTCATCGTGGTCGAGTTTCTCCGGTGATGTTCTTATTAACAGGAATGCACACACCTTTTTTCTTGCACATTGCAGTTTGCACTTCCGTTTTTTTTTCACTTTCCTATCCCCTCGATTGCTTTAACTATCGAATCTCATTGGTCAACGACTTCTTCGGGGATAATATTACCGTAACACGCTGTTGGTGACAAAAAGTGAAGAATAGTAACGGTACAAAACTGTCGAGCAATCGATAGTGAATAATACTTTGCTGAGGAACGATTTGCAAAATTGTACATTTTCGCGGGTACGAATTCTGTTTGCTTATTACATAATTTTAGGCAGATTCGGACTTTTTACAGCGACCCCACCCTCCCGCCTTCCATAATTCTCCTCTTCCCCAGAGATTATTTCAGTCGAAAGAACGCAAGTCGGGCGAAATGAAATACAACTTCTTACTTGGAACGAATTTCTTCATTAATCACGGAAGTTCTGAATTATCTTTTTTTTTTTTCTCTCCGTAGAGCTCTGCGAGCCCTTTAAGTTTTATGATAATTAACGAGAATCGGTACCCGAGGCATCCCGGTGGTATATGAGAATTATCCTCCATTAGAGCAGCGTGTTTCGCAAAAAATCGTAATTAATAATCGAAAGAAGGACAGTAGAATGAAATTTCTGTATCTGTAACATGCTGACTGACATAAACTAATAATCGAATAGCCACGTAAATGAAAAATAAAAATATTTCGTGATTAAAAAAATGCTTCTTTTGCAACTCGATGCTAATAAAATTATGCTTGATATCTTCAGCGAACATTCGTTAATCTTTTCTCATAATCGAGTAAAGATTGCTATCAAAGAGCTCCGCCAACAATTTTAATCCGTTTTAAATGATTTATTCGAACCCCTCGTCCCTTGCCTGTAGCAATTATCGCGTAATTATTTTTTAATCTCCATGACTCGCTTGTTGGATTAGACTGTTAATCCTGTTTGTGACACGACAAAGCATCGCTAATAAAAAGAATTAAGGATTGTTTACGAACGTGGAAATATTAACCCTTTTGATACAAGTTAAAAAATTCGATGACATCGTGTATAGTTTTTGTACGAAGTAGTTTTTCATAGAACTACTTCGCGTATTCCTGGTGGACAAATGAAAGATAAATTACTCGTAAATATAATACGTTAGTTAATTCAGCATTTAAATCCAGTTGTAAATCGATTGTTTATCAGAAGATAACGATGCTAATCGAAACCAAGATTAACCATTTAATTGGACGCGAAAAACACAAGATAATTTTGTATTAATCTCGTTTAGCCTGCGCGTGCAATATTTCTAACAAATCTCAAGATATCGGACGAGCAGTTAAAAAATTATCTTCGGTTTCCAACGAAAACAAACTTTTTCCTCGTTAATTGGGTAAACATCATTTGTCAATGTTAAGAAGAAAGCTTAACATTCATATTGGAAATGTACGTCTAGCGAAATTGCATCGTTAAAAACGTTGTTCCGAAAAAAAAATTGTTTCTTTTTTCTGCTTTTTAAATTCAACGTATCCATGAAATAGGTATCATTCGTTGTTATACAGATTTTTCGTTAATTAAGAGAAAAATGTACGTAACGTTTATTGATTCTACGTTTCGACTGTGTGAATTTTCGGGAGTGCAATATTTTTAAAATTAGAATATAAAAACCAGTATTTCGTACGATAATATGAAACATTCATATATATACATATTGCGTGCAGATTGCATAATCTAAAATTCGATTGTCGTGCATTTTACACTTTTAATCCTTACAATTTTGCATTTAATTCCAATAAAAACGTTTAAATATAAAGTTTATATATTCACTCTCGCTATATTACTACGTTTCAGTGACCTAATTTTAACAACATCGTACGATAATGTGTGTAGAAAAATTGCCGCGTAAACCATAATCTCGAGTCTAGGTTACTGACCGCGCGACGAGCCAATCGACCGGTTCGATTTTTATTCGCTGTACTTAAATCTTTATTTGTTCGTTGATCAAATATATAATGTAAATTTCTTATACCTTGTTTAACGACGAATGAACGACGATGCGAATGGAAATTGGGTCGTTCGGCTTGCAAATGATTTTTCAAACTTTTCCAATTCGATTTCCTAATTACGCAGGCAGCGTTTCTAGCATTCTTCGCGAATGTCTATCGGCGCGACGGCGCATGCGCCGGGTTTACGCATAGATGCGCCCTGCAAGACCGATAAAGGAAAGAAGGGAACGAGTTAATAAGCGATTCCTCGGCTAGGGGGACGAGGGGGGCGTACATGGAAGCGCGGGAACGGAGAGAAAAGAAAAGAGAAAACGTGGCCGACGCGGTGGATTTGCGTTCAAGGAACGTCTCGGGACACACGACTGGTACGTGCGGGGTATCGGTGCCTTCGACGATTGCGAAACATCGCTTGGCAAACTTCTACGAGGCTTCGTTAAATTTGTATACGCTCAACGTACGGCCTGTTACGATGCGATTTCTCTACCGACGAAAAAGAAATTCCGCTGGTCGCGCTTCCACCGCTCCTCGAATAAGTCGTCGTTTACCGATACCCAGAGATCATTTCACGAGCAACGTCTAAACAACATTAATTACACTTTTTATCGCCGTTACGTACCGTCGAGTCTTTCTTTCTCTATGCTCCCCGAGTGCGGATCAACTTTTTCATCGGTCCCTGTGCACGGAGAAACGAACGGACTTCAAACACCTCGAGTCAAAAGACAGCCTCTTCGATTCGCACTCATTTTCTCCGTGATTACATCGAGCCTCTCGCGAGACTCTCACTGACGATCATCGGAACACGTTTCAACGAATCGTATCGACGACGGTTATCGATAATCACTGGATTTTTAAATCGGAACGCGTCGATCAGATCAACGGGCGTTTTATCACTGTGTCGTAAATACATGCGCGCGATACGAACGGCTCAAAGACGATTTTTTTATTGAGAACCAGAGTACGTAAACAAAAATAACGCGAAGCACCGAGCGGACAGCGACGAAAGATCGTCCAGCTTCGACGGCCGACGGCGTACTAATAACGAACCGGGTGGCCATGGAACGCCAGAGAGTCTGCCTTACCGGCGCAAGCGTCTCTTGGAAGGAAGCGCAGATCACTGATACCAACACAACAGAACCCGAGAGGGATACCACGCCGCGAACACACATCGATTGTATAGATACCTGTTGAATGCACGAGCCGCTGCCACGTTGGCGGTCAACTGAATCGAAAAGGGGCGAACGAACCAATGGAAAGGGTACAACAACCTCCACCGATCGAGATCTACAGCGATTAGCTAAATTTGACGGATTTTAAGCCCTAAATTCAAATGCTTTTTACCTCACTCCCCCATTGTCACTTAAAAAACAAGCAGTTTTCGATTCTCAAACATTCGAATAAAATTTCTCCCACTTATACTAATTTTTATCATTTATTTAAATCACGTACAGTAAAGTGAGTGTAATCCAAGTTTGGCTATCACAGTATAGTATACAAAACCTGAACCGCTTGTCAGACGTTCCCTATGTCAAGTTTGCATTGTAGAAAAAATTAAACAGTACACATTTGAGAATACGTACAACAAGGAGTTAATTGCAAGAAATAACAAATAAGAATTACGAAGGGCGTATCGTGCATTAAATGTACTAGTGTCGAGGGTGTGATTCCTGGTACTCGAAAGGGTAAGAGGGGTTCATTCGCCCCCGGTCCCATTTTAAGCCCAGGATTGATAAGGCGCTTTGTTTCCCGTCCTCGACTCAACGACGGGTTCAAAGTCTGAACTTCAGACTCGAGGGGATAGTGGTTAAAACCTCAGATCGCCGAATAGAGCCTCCGGCTCGTGGCGAGGATAGCGAATCATACTGCTCGAGGAGGCGTATCTTGAAATGTCAACGAGTATTACAAAAGCTTTGAGACCAACATCAAACTGGCAGCTGGGATTGCAACGCCTGGACCGTGCTACGCTTAGTCCTCAACCAGCTACATACGTCGACTACATCTCCGAACTACTATATCATCTTGAAATAAAATGACGAAACATGGAAGGCGTTAATAAGGGAAATTTACTGCAAGAATTACCGTCCATATCATTCATATTCTAGCAAATACTAATGTTTAAAGATTGTATATTATAATAGTGATTGAGTCTTTCTACAGTTAATAAATTACATATGTCCACATCGCAAGTTTTCTTTCGTTCCACCTGCCCGCCATTTTAAAAAATACTACCTTGAGCCGAGAAATAGCAGTCGCTAAATGGATACGACACGTTTAATTGCCGAGATATGCCCGATGAAATATACCGCTGTGCTCGAGGCACACTCGAGTAATATGTAAAGCAATACGAGCACAAGAGTGTTATGTACTGTCCAAAAACTAGATAAAATTCATCTCCAGGATCTTGACCCCAACAACTCAAATACGCTACAGTTTCCAAGCTCTACTATTTCTACACCCTCGCTATATTTCTTCCACCAATTTATACGAGAGGAAAGCATCGTGTGCATCGTAAGCCCAAAGAGGATCATCTTCTCCACGAACGTTTCGTGTATCTACGGTGGTGGAACGATTTTTCTGGAACGACTATACCGTCGAGACTTATGTGGTCAGGGCAGAGATGGGCAGAATTTCTATCTAGACGCGAATTTTGAATAACAGATAAATAACATCTTATTCGCGACTTCTAAACTGAAAATTAGATCATACATCTGTAGAATACTCGTGAATTTGTTCGAAAATTGACAAAGTTAACTATCTGCTCGCAGAAACTATGTACATTTGAAATTTAATTGAATTTTAAAGCTATTGCACTCAAATATTTATTCATTATTCGCAATTTTGTCCTATGCTAACCTAAGTTCGCAGCCATTAGCTCGGCCCTACCCGGGAGGAAAGTATTTAGAATACTTTCGTCGCGGGTAACACCGATTACCAGGTCCCACCACGAGGAGGTTGCTGCGACTGGGGACCCGAAAGAAGACAGATGGAATCCAAATTCCATCGATCGAGATTAACGAGATAGAAGGAAGCAAAGTTCCATCAATCTCCTTGTTTAGTTCTGCCAAGCAATTATTTTGTTTAAAGAGGATCAGGTTAAACTAAGAATATACGAATAGCGGGTCTAAAAGGTCAGCTCGTTGCCTCTTAGCAAGTCCGATCGAAGGGGAAGTGAATCGACGCACCTGACACAGAGATTCCCCATTTCCCCTACGCGTGGGAGCCCACAGGACCCAACTCGGGATGACTGACACAGAGAGGGATTATGAATCGGAGCTACCGCAGACAAGAACGATCCCTGATCCCCTCTACGGCCGAAATACTCTTTCCCTAGGATCGTCGTCGTCAGAGGACGGCAACTGACCTTCTGGACCAGCTAAATGACCGATCGCTTACTTTCAACGTAAAAGAAGCGGTGATCGGAACAAGAAACGAGAGAACGAGACAAAAAGAAGCTACTTGTTCAATAACTACATGGCAGATGAAAAATAAATATTTCTGCAAAAACTATGTTTCCAACCATTGTTTAAATAATAGATGCAGTTAATTATTATTTCACCCATCGTTTGGTATGCATTATTAATTGTTTTAAACAATAGGAATGAATAATATATGCAGAAATTTGAACAGTTTTCATTTTATTCCATGCTGTAATAAACGTACCAATATTCTCGCCACGAAGTGGCCATACGATATCAGCGTAAAACGACATATTTGCTTGTGCAGATTGTTAACCGGCTACAGCAAGGACGAATGCTGGAAATCGATGCGACTATAATTTTACCGCCGGAGTAAAAATCCTTGAAAACTGAAACTCGGAATTGCGCCTGCCTTGCAGTCTGTAACTGTGCGGTTCCTCCGACGCGTACATACGAAAGAAAAACAAAACTACGAGAGGCCTTAGTGCAGTTCGGAATGCCAGCTAACCGCAGTTTATGATGCATCCACCTCAACCGCCAAAGTATACGTTCATGCGAATGTATGCATGTTCCTCCATGGAATGTGGTCTCGCATAGTCTCGCGTTATTTGCATCGATACGACCAGAGAAATATATTTGTCGATTACGAGAAGAAATAGTACTTTAACCAGGGCAACCGCGTATTCTACCCTCGGTAGGGCAGCCCTCTAGAAACGAGTTTATGTCCTACGTCGTACATCTTATAAAATATTCTGCTTCTGTCTCGAAAACAAGCCACGGATTGCGAAATGCTAAAGGACGCATAGATTTCTCTTTACACGAACAATTTTTATGCTTCAGTTTGTTCCATCTTTTAGATTACACTGCGCACACTATACGCTTTTTACTTAGGAAGACAATTGACATACTTCAAAATTATTAAAAGTGCAAATAGTTCCATTAATTATTTTATTATTATCAACAACAAGTCGAAATATATATTCCAGCTGTTCTTTCGTCTGTGTTATTCTGAAGATATGATATTAGATGATCTATGGTATTTAAATTAGAGAGAATAGGGTAAAAGACTATCATATGTTGTATCCCCCTCACACACATTCCCAACAGAAAGTTAGAAATAATTCAAAGTTCATGTTATTCGACATTAAATGACAGTCCTACCGATACTATATGTATAGCCACAGACGAGGTATACCGGTAGACCTTACACCTTATGGACTTTCGTAGCCTCACAGACGAGGTATACGAGTAGACCTTTCACTTTATGTACTATCCTGGCCCAATCTGACTGCCATACCGACCTGAAAATTCGGAGGTGATTTTAGCACAGACGAGGTGTACGAATAGACCTTTCACCTAAAGGCAAATAGAACAGATACATATGAACACACGTCCATAAGCATAGTAAAAAATGTCTTTTTTTTAATAGTTAAAATATGATCAGGGGGTCTTAAAACGTGTATTTCCGTAAAAGAAAATCTTGAAATTTTTTTTTCATTATGGTATTTTGCCTGGGCAAGGTCGAATTCAACTGTGTTGAGAGCAAGAAGAATAGACTCACATTAGCCGCCTTTCTCGAATCCTCGAAGTTATACGAAGCGCCAGAACTCATATACAAGATGGTTGTGCATTAGTGTGTGTAAGTGGAGGGGCAGTTTCCTTTGGGCATGGGCCTGCCGTCTAATAATACTGCACTGTCTTTTTCAATCCCTCCCACAGTCAACTCACATGTATTTACGCACACAGGTGCTGTCCATCAATACTAATTCAGTGAATAGTTTCTCAACTGACCGCTATCCATGAGAAGAGACCGCTAAAATCAGCTCCGAATTTTCAGGTCGGTATGGCAGTCAGATTGGGCCACGAAAATCCATAAGGTGGATGGTCTACTCGTATACCTCGTTTGTGCTTTCATCTTATCGACTTTCGTGGCCCAATCTGACTGCCATACCGACCTGAAAATTCGGAAGTGACTTTACCGGCCTCTTCTCATGGCTGACGGTCAGTTGAGAAACTGTTCCTCGTCTCTGACAATACTCTAGAATCATTGATGAATCAATGAGAAACAAAACTAACCTAGCGAAGAAGCTCTATATTTATGATTACCTATGCAAAGTGGATCGCAGCCAATTTACTATTATTTAGTTTTCAATTAATAATTGCATTGCCCGGCTAAGAGTGATACGATTATTAATTAAACGCTAAACCAATGAAAGATGTACAACCACGGACGAGGTATACGAGTAGACCTTTCACCTAATGTATTTTTTCGGCCCATTACCATTTTCGTGTCACTCGCAACGTTATCAACAGATTCAGAAATTAACACAAGAGGAAGTGAGACAGAAAATAAAATTACATAAATTTTATTATTTTTTAACGGAATGAAAGCTGTATGGTTCAGAATTGAGCATCGATCGATTAATTTCATTGGAATAACCAATCGATTGAGATTATTTAAAGATTTCAAAATTATTAAAACACGTAAGGATCTCATTGATAAATACACCGCAAATCCTCTATTTTTTATTTTAAATTGTAATATATTATTTATTTAAAAACAGTGTTATTAGACCGCACACCAGGACGAAGAAGGTATGTGG